TGTGTGCCATGAACATGATGTGGGTTCCTCCTGATACCAACAGAGCTCCTGTCACTCCGTCTCTTCACCCTCAGCCGATACTGTTTGTTTTGAACTCCTGGGTTTTTGCATCTTTGTGGTGTCCAGGACAAACGTAAATGGGAAGACAAAGGTGCCACCAGTGATGCAAACAGTCAGATTGTGAATATTAATACATTAAATGAAACGAAACCAAACAACATCAGGCATGAGGAAACTCAGCTGGTATCTGGTGGCTGGTCAGTCACACCTCGTGGCTTTTCTCCACATATTTATTTTCCTGTTTTTCTTATTTGCTCCAAGTCCCAGTTCCTGGTGGGAACCCTGCTGTTAGATACTACACAGTGCATGTGATATAGAACAGTTACTGTCCACCATTTTATTAAGCATGCGAGCTCTTTAGATTAACCCATTAAACAGCATACTGCCATCAACATCCCAGAGGACTAATGAACATCCATGCCGTGCACACAACGTCCTGCTAGCAACTCCACAATGCACATCATCACACTGTCTTTAAAACAGCAAACAGTAAAGCTGTGTGACTCTGCACCTGAGTTTACCTCAGAGCAAACTGTTGGGTGCACAGAGTGAACAAACAAGGGAGTGATTTGGACAAAGCCACCGACTCCTCTCACCCACAACCACTACCCAGTTAGTCGCACCTGCAGCCTGCAGAGTCCGGCTCCAACCACCACTGGCATCAAGACAACAGGGCGAACTCGCCGACACATTCCCAGGGTTTCGTCTCTGTCTGCCAACATGACAAATGGCAAGGAGGTTTTTTAAATTAAAGGACAGGTTCACAGTTTTTCAAGTCTGCCATGAGACAACAGTCATGTGCTCAAACAGCTTTTTCTTGCAGTGATCATTCCTCCTGCTGACCATTAGAAGACAGATTCCTAACGTTCTTCCAATGGAAACAATGGGGAACAAACGGTACGACAGCGCTCGAAACAGCCGCTGAGTCCAGACTTTGATTTTAGCTGATTAAATGTTATATGAGCTTCTTGATGCTGTCAGTCTTGTCTGGTTTCTGTAGCCTCTGTACATACGTCTGTTGGTTAGCAGGTTGTACTTCTGGAAATGTCTGCTGCACACAATCATAGGTGAAGTGATTAACAGCACTGTGCTGCATCACTTATGTGACAACTGTTGTTATAAAACTGCTGGTTGTCTGTTCTGTTGTGAAACTGGAGCAGCTGGCTGACACACAGACTCACCAGGCTTTCTCTGCACATACAAATATCATCTCTGTTCAAGGACAAACAGTCAGAAACACAGCGTCAAGGACACCCGCAGATATCAGGACATGCTCATTGTTGCACCTGCATGCACCCACTCCCAAGAGCACGCACACCCACCTTGGAGGTCTGATACTGGGTGTACACAAGCTCACTCAGCAGAAACGGCCCTGAGGAGCAGGAAGAGCACTGCATCCTGAAGATAACATCACCATGCACAACAGTCAGTCCCAGTGTGCGGCTACAGGAAATGCTGCTGCTCGTAATGTTTACACTGAGCCAGTGTTAACAAGAGTGACACAAGAAAAGCATAACCTCTGTGGGATTACACTTCTCAGCATCTGCAGGTGGTTTGTAGAGCAGACGAGGTGAGACGAGCTTCTCTGGTCACGTTTCAGACCTGAGCGCTGTCACTGGCCTGTGTGTCCCTCAGACACAAGGACAGACGAATCCTTGTGTCTCTGAAACGTGTCAACACCACCAAATCCTCTCCATGCGGCGTTAGGGTTAGTTATCACAGCAGCAATAAGGTAGAAACACACAGAAAAGAAGATGCATTCTGGGAGGCTCCCAACACACCTGCCTCATGCACCTGCAATCACATGATCAGTACTCAGCCAGTCGTGTAAATACTTATCATGGTTTCAACTCTTTGTTTATCTGAAGTATGAGCATGTCAGTCATCAGCCTGCGCCTACAGAACCAAGTCACAGCAGCTGCACTACAATAAACAGTTACATCAGTCTGATAACAGCGTGATAGTCTGAATTAGTTAAGCCACGTTTAGGGAACAGACCCTGATGTTTTCATATGGCTTGTGCCTGTACAGACATCACTCTGACCAGGGCATGGCTTAAATGAACACCAGACTTATCTTTTCATAGTGTAGATTGAAAATACGTAACATTTTATGTTTGCATGCCTTCACCTCACATGTAAAGAAAGAACCAACCAAATCAGAGCTGAACTATGTTCATTTGTTAAAGTTTTTACTATGTGAGTAACAACAATGTGATTCCTGACAATTACATCCGTTACGGTTTTTGACTTCCTGTTCATCTTTAGCACTGGTGCAGTAGCTTCCTACAGGACCTGCACATTTCAGAGCAGTGATTCTGTAAATCCACTGACCGTCCAGCCCCGGACTTGACAAAACAAACTGTGGGCTGTGAAGGCAGCACATGCCCTGAAGACACCAAGAGACAACCCATAACCCCCCTCTCCCACACAAAAAAACAACAGCCAGGGATCCTGTAACTAAGGCAAGTCACCAACAAGCTCTACTGGTAAACCAGTAACCAGCGTGTGCTTTCTACACATGACCATTAGAAGTGAAACCCACTGACCACTCACAGATTTACAGCTTCTCACCAAAATCTGTGATTTCTGGGTGCAAATGTTGAGGGAACCGATGCAGGACCAGACAGAGGTTTGTAATTCTCTTCACATTAAATAAAGGTTTTTACTTGGGTGCAATGGTCAGGTGTTGTATGACGTACCTGAGGCCTCACAAGCCGCCCAGCAGCACATGAAGTCATTAAAACAAGCTCCATCTTTACCTGCTGTGACAGTACGGCGCTGAACACACAAACAGATGATCTGAGGATTCTGTCCAACGCTGTTTACCGGACACTGCACAGACAGAACAGAACAGAACAGAACAGAACAGAACAGCCTCCACTACATCCTCTTTGTGCATTAGGTATCGAACGACTGAAGCACAATATCTCTGATATCTGGACCAGATAAAGACTTGATCCAAGCAGCTAAACAAATAAAACAGAACTGATTGACTGGTCAACCTCCTACAGTAAAACAATGCTACAGAGCTTTTCTTGGAAGGCATCAGTGTCAAGGTAAAAGGAAATGGCAGCAGCTTTATGGGCCCATGGAGGCCTCTGATAAAGATGAAAGGTGCCCTGAGGAGTTTTGATCTAAACAAAAGTTGTGTTTCCATTGTTACTCAGCAACATCTGGACGGTGTTCCTGAGCTCTACCATGCATTGACTGCATTTTGTCCCTTATAAAACATTTGCAGAACTGACATTGAAAGTATTTCACATCCAGTATTGTTTTCAGCCAGCGTGCACTTTTCTTCCTTGCTCCCTTTGTTGGCACCGCTCAGTGCACTACTGCCACCTGTGGATCAGTGTAACAGGGCTCCACACAACACAGGAGAAACATGACCTTCAGGATTTTGAGGTTTTTTAACTGGAAATGTTTGCAGGACCAAACAAACTCTGCATAGGAGAATAACCTGGTTACTGAGGTACAGATGTTTTAATTGTCATTTTACATGTGTGTAAAGCAGAATCCCTGGTTAATGTTGAGCCTAAGAGCAGAACTCAGCATTCACATAAACACACAGTAGCTGGTCATGGCCCAGTGGGAGCAGTTAAAATCTGTTTCCTTCACACAGAGGGATATTTTTGTCTCAGGGTTTTTGTCATGGGGGCTCCTGGGTGTGGCGATATCATTGTCTAGTCCAGTTCTGGGACTGTCGGGGCCCAGTTTGTTGGATGCTCCTCCGTTCATATTTCTGTCTGAGCTTTTGTTCCGTCACATTGTTCGTGCTGTGGCTTGTGACCCGGTCCTGGGTGGGATTTCCTGACAGGAAGAAACACTGTATAGAGGCTCAGCAGGGCGATCACCACTGCTAAGGTGCCAGACACACACTGGTCTGAGTATGGTCCGAACATGCTCACTCCTCTGACCTGCTGCAAAATGATCTTAGCATCACTCATATCTAACAAGATGTAAGTAGGATCAGCAACTCTGAGCACAGGGGTAGAAAACTGAGGGTGTTGAGAGCTCACCATGAAGGTTCAGTCTCTCCATACATTGATTTTACATTAATTAGTGCAGCACATTTTGCACTGTGTTGATTTAGAGCCAGATAAATGTCCATTTCTAGATACCTGACATTTCTTTATAGTGCAAGTCCCATTATCTACACTGCTTATTCCTAAATGGGGTCGCAGCGGGGCTGGAGCCAATGACATCTGACACTGGGTGAGAGGCAGGGTCCACCCTGGACAGGTCACCAGTCTATCACAGGAGTGACATATAGACAGACAACCACTCACACACACTGCTACGGGCAGTTTAGTCACCAGTCAACATAAGCTGCATGTCGTTGGCCTGTGGGAGGAAGCTGGAGCACCTGGCGAGAACCCACACAGGGAGAACATGCAGACTCCACACAGAAAGACAGAAAGGCCCTGGGTTGGACTGGGCTTGAACGTGGAACCTTCTTGCTGTGAGGTGACAGGGCTAACCACATCACTGTGCTGCCTCAAAAATACATTTAAAGTGCAACAAGTCTGGGAGTCCACAGTGACGCCTGTAGGTCTGTGAGGCTGTAGCCTACTTATGATGCAGTTGGACCAAAACCCACCTGGTTCAATTAACTCCAGAGTCCGTAGGTCCTCTAGCAGACGCACCAATGTGGTGGAAAAAACGCTTCAGTTTTTAGATAATCTCCTTGGTTGTACGGTCACGTCTCTCCACAGGGGGATTCTTTGATGAACAACACACATGACACACACTAGAGGTCATTGTGAACCAGTTAGAAGCTCAACAGCCACTGGAACCACAGGACTACACTGAATGTGTCAGCACCACATACTTCACCATTTACAAAACGACTGCTCAATAAGTAGAGACATTTGTTTTCAGTTTGTTTAAATCTGGATTTTCTCATCTCTGGAAAAAAAACATGCACACACATCAGCTCTTCACTTCAGCGTTCTCATTTTATTATCTTTAAATGTTCATGTTACAGATTCAAACCAATTTACACTCAAACATTCACATTCACCAGTAAATAACAAAAAAGTTTCTTTAACAATACCCCCGATTCCTGACAGCCCCTTCCTGCTCTATGTACAGTGTCCACTAGTCAAACGCAGGACATACAGTACTGTGGGTGAACCCGTAGACTGCCCCGCTGCTCTGGTCAAGGACAAAAAAAGAAAAGCCAGGAGTAGTAAACAAAAACACACACACTGAGAACACGTTTGTCAAACTGCTCACTGCCAATCGTTATTGCTTCAGTGACACAGCGAAGGTCAGTTCTCCACTGCTGCTCCTCGCTGAGGAGGGATTATTAGGAAAGTGATGAAAACCTACTGTACATCAGCAAAATCATCACAAAAATAATACCGTTAATATTAGTTACTATATCTAATGAAAGGTCTATATACAAATCTACATTGCTGAACAAAGTGCAGGTGATTGTAAAAACTGTACAGTGAATGTGATGATGAACTAATGATGCGAGTTGTGTGTGATCAGACGAGCAGCTTCTTCTCACACCGGCGTCTCTGTGTCCTCTGCTCTCGCCACCTCGGCTGAGAACAGTTTTCATCTGCGTGTCTCAGTTTCTACACTTACACCTATTTCTGAGAAGAGTAATGCGATCGAGTAGCAGGCATGTTGTCGCGCTGCTACTATTTACAGCAAAGTTTGCTCCCTGCAGTAAACCAGCAAAGTGTGTGCCATACTGTAAACAACACTAAGATATGATGTTGGTCTAAAATGTCACTGTAAACCTTAAGGCAAGAAGATCAAGGCACTTGTTGTTACACACTACAATACAGGGGTTTGATCATGACATTGTAATACCGAAAACCCATCAGAGTCAAAAGGAAGAAGAGAGTGAAGAGGTTTTCCTTTACACTCGTGGAGGCGTTGACAGGTCTGTAACTGCAGAACCATATTTCTGACTTGTTTGTATCAAATGACAAAGTAAAAATCTGGAAACCGAAGCCGATTTAGATGCTGAAGTTGAACTGGAACTAACATTGGTACAGTACATAATCTGACTGGTGTATTCATTTGTGTGGGCAGGCACCAACCGCAGGTGACAGCACCACCACATTTCAGAAGCTACTGGGGGCGGACAGTGTTACCTGTCGCTGCATCTCCTCTGTGATGTGACAGCCAGTCTGATGTTATCAGCCCATTGAATGGCCTTTATCAGTTGTTAGTGGGGTGGACGAGTGGGCGACGAAACAGGACTGTGGAGGCGCCAGCTGTTTGTCTCCTGCTTCACACTGGCTGATGACTTCTACTAATGTTAATCTGTTTCTTCATTTTCCTTATGTTTATTCCTGATCCCAAATATTCTGTAGCCTTGTTCTTTCATTTTATTTATTAGTTTTATTTTTATGTGTGTAACATCTGCCGAGGGGCTACCAATGATAAACGGCCTTCTGGTTAATTCTGGCACATTTACAGTAATGTTGATTTATTGTATATTTATTTAACCTTTATTTTACCAGGAAGTCCCGCTGAGATCTACATCTCTTTTTCAAGGAAGACCTGGCCGAGATGGCAGCCATACAAATCCACAACATGTTAAGATCACGAGATAAAGACAACGGACTGTCTCCTTCACCACATTTATGATGTCATTACATTCTCCAATAACCAACTTCAGATCTTTCTGCAAGTTATTCTGTGCATAGTAGGAAAATGCAGTTTTCCCCAGAACTGTAAAAATTCAAGGTACATTAAAAAGTAACCAGGACCCGTCTCAGACTGGTTGTTACTAGTTATTAATGTGCAGGTCCCGGTTAAATAAACCATCAAATCAAATGAAACCTAACTGAGTAGTTAGTGAGTCTGAGCACTGCCGCTGCTGTTCAGCGTCACGAGTCAAATAACAGGATAACGACGGAGGACGAGCTGCACTCTGACTTCTGACGGTCTGGTCATTTGCCTTCACTGTGTCTGAACCAGGGATGTAATATATATATAGTAAACAGGAGGCCAGGTTCCAAAGTCCACCTGAATGCCAGCTGCTCCCTGTGCACATGAACCAAAGCTCTAATCTTCATGAGATGTACATGTCCAGCTCTGTGTTTGCAGAAAAACACCTTGTAAACATCTGCACAACCAGCTGCCGCATCACTGTAGTTTATATCTCTTTACACAAAAAGTGGAGAATTCAAATTTCAGTTCAACTTTATGAAGATTTTAAGATTCTTTAGTTTGGTGTTTAAGTAAAAAACTGCATGAAAACTTGTTACAGGAGGAGTTGACTGAGGACAAGAGGGACAGCTCTGTGCTCAACTGCCATTTTACTGTGTTCATCGCTGTCTACAACTACAAACACGAACACACGGCTTCATTTCAATGTGTAATTTGGTAAATGTTAGTTTGGAACAAAAAGCCACAACCCTGCCGTACTTGGCTCCACACATGATGACAGAGGCAAAACGGTGTAAGGAATCCCAGAGGGAAAGTGTAGAGACGGTGACACGGCTGTGGTGGTCTTCACCAGTGGGAGAAGATTCTACTTCCTATAGAAACATGAGCACTTTTCTCCACTGGCTGCAATAAAGAGACAAGAGACAGCCGAGGAATTCAGAAGGAGAGACAGTCAAGCATCTGGTCCGGCAAACCGGTCTGTTAATTGCTGCTCTTGAGCTCAAAGCGGCTGTACACCTGCCTGGATTTCATCTTGTTGTATTGGTTCACCAGGTCCAGTTTACTGTGGCCCAGCGTCATCCGCTTCTGGTCCTGCCTGTTCATCACCACCCCCGGCGAGGGCGGTGGCGGGGGGCTCTGTTGGCTCTCCGGCTCAGTCTGAGACAGGTCCGGCCCCCCCCAGGGCAGGGGGCCGAGAGGGGGAGGGGACCTCTGGAAGTTGTCTTTGCCTGAGGGGTGCAGGAAGATGTCTGAGAGTTTGTTGAGGAACTGGTTGGAGGGAGTCCTCTGTTTGGGGGTGAGTTTGCTGTCAATGACTGGGGCGGGGGTCTGGCTCTTGGGGATCAGGCTGGAGTTGGGGGCGCTGTGGAACATGTTAGGTTTGTGGTCGTACAACCCCAGTGCCTGGAACTTGTTAGTAGTGCCGCCAATGTTTGACCTCATGATGTCCGCCGCGTTGGCCTTGTTCCACTCGATGCCCACCGGCTGACCGTAGCTCGGCAACGGCCGTTCAGGAACCGCGCTGTGATTGGTTCCGCTGTTGTTGGAGACCCGTGGTCCCGGTGTGGTGGTCTGTCCTCCGACCCGTTCCCCAGGTCTCCTCTCAGGGCTCAGGTGGGAGCTGGGGTTGGGCTCCTTCTTGTCGTGAGTGACCTTGTAGACGGTGCTGGAGTTCATCCCAGGAGCAGCCTTCACACTGGAGACGCTGTTACTTGACTGGCTGCTGGAGTGTTCAGAGCCCCGGTGCCGGCTGGGGGATCAATCAGCAAAGTAAATACTCATTCAAGGTCAGAGCTTAAAACAGAAGTTCTAAAGACTGTTGACTGGCTCTGGTTTGTAAGATACGGCACTGGCAGTGTCTGGAAGAGTTTCTGCACAGACGTTCTGTGTATTCTATAACTTTAAAACTGCAGCCAATCAGCTCTTCTAAAGGTCATATCTAAGTCCAGCACCACAAAATCCATAAAAATGAGCACATTTCATTCCAGAACCAAAACTGTAAAGCAGCGTAATTTATCATCTGTCATCTATACTGTACAGGTATAAATCTTTTGTGCACGTTTTCCCTTTGTATCATCATCGTCATCCTCATCATTATCATCATTATCAGCATCATAAGGTTTTATTGTAGTGCACAAAGTGATCAGCTGTAATAAGCTACTGAACGGCTTCAGCTGGGATGAACACTCTGCTATTTTCTGACATGTAGGTATGAACTAGCTAATCGATTAGTCAGTGATTACATATAGTAACTACAAGTAATGTGAAGAAACAATGTGTTTCAGGGTGTAGACACATCCTAGTTTCAAATATCAACGGGAAGAGAAGTTTGACATGGTTTTAAAAAGTCTCAGTAAGCAGACTCCAGCTTTGTACCTGTCAGAGAGTAAATCCAGCCCCATGAGGGGGCTGCTGAAGCCGATGCCGGAAGTCAGCATGCCGGGGGCCATCAGGCCTGGGTAGGGTGGGTAGTAGGGCAACCCCTCCTCCTCTGGGTTGTAGAAACAGTCGATGATCTGAGAGTCAGCATACATACAGCGAAACTCCCGGTCGAAGCTGTCGGCGATGCGACCTGAGAAATGCATCACCATGTTGCTGTGCACCTGAGCCGACAGCCAGGTGAAACTGGAGAGGAGACAGGAAGGAGCCGGTAAAGAGACAGAAATCATAGATGAGTGTGAAACCGGTCCCAGTCAGCTGCGCTGTGGGAGACACAACAGCACTGTGGGGCATTTAAAAGCCCTAGTTTGATGTCAAGGCCCTGAATGATTCAGCTGCACGATGTGCATCAAGAAATGTTGGAACCAAATTAAACTGAGGGCTAATGTGCTCATTACGATTCAACTCCCATTGTGAATGTTCAGACGTGTTAATGAGGGACATCAGTCTGCAGGCGTCCCACACCCACAAACAGAAAATGTGACTTTGTCTCGGTACCTATCAGTTGCTTGTGTGTAAATGAGCTCTTCCACCTCCAGCTGATAAATCTGCAGCTCAGCCTCAACCGTTTCCTGGACGGTGAGACACGACGGTGACTCATCAGCAGACAGCAGCAGCAAACACTGCAGACGTCTGGCTGAGCAGCAGAAATAATGTTTCACGCTGAAGAGAGGACACGTCTCAGCTGGACAACGTGATGCATTAACAAAGGCTCCCCTCAGCATTCGGTGCACAACGTGCTCATGAACTTCTCCTGCCTCACATCGCAGTGTGTCACTACAAAGCTTTGTTCACTCATGTGTTTTAAAAATGACTGTGTTTGATTGGTCACTAAGCAGTGTCACTGTGACTCAGCCGGGGTTTCACTAGAATCAACCCTCATATCATCACAGAGAGAATTCAGACATCTCCAGCATCAAGGCAGCTTTAACAGAGGGTTTTAAAATAACATGGAAATGTCCATAAGTCCAGTGAAAGCACTGATAACCGCCGACTGCTCCTCCTGTGTGTTGGCTGCAAAAACATTGCTATGTAAGTGATGGAGAACTACATCCAAAGTCTTCATTCCAAAGTTCAGTCAAAGGAAGGTTTCAGAAGTCAGTGAGAAAAATCAAGCAGGTTTCTTTTTAGTGCCAAATGTTTTTGGTAATGTTCCTCAGCCACAGCTCAGAAATCAAACACGTCTGTGGAAACACAGGAAGCTTGAGCTTGTTGATGGGACAGGTCATTTGCAGCAGGACTAAACAATAACCAACACTTGTATCAGTGCATGTCAACACGTGAGCACTTTGTTTATAGAGTACTTGTTGAGCTGAACAAAGGTGAACCTATCGCACAAACGTCGTTGCTCCACGGTTTCTGATGTAACAGAACAGGAAAATATTCCTGACTTGTTCAACTTTAGCTGCTGACTAGTTTTCATTTGGGAGCAGTCTTAAAATGACAGATATCGGTTTGTCAGTTTGCAGGACTTGCATTAACTTGTCCCTGAGTGTCTCTCCTCAGCAGGTGTTCTTCGGTTTCACCAGCTCACTGTGAACTACAAAACACGGCTCTATTCCCCAGAGTGTTTTATAACCACACCATGAAAACTCACTACGAATGATCTGTGTAGAGACGATACGGGAGGCTGCGCAAATCAACGGTTGGTAGTTACAAAACAAATTCCTCTCTGAATGTGCAGAGCTGTGAAGCCACCGCAGAGACAGACAGTGTGAGAGGAACCTGCAGGGCGGCTTTGCTCTGATAAATCACTGCTCTGACGCGTTGGACACCTGAAGTTGATTTCCTGCTCTGAAGAGGAACAGATACCTCCACCAGGAAACCATAAAGAGCAGTTCGTCTTTATTGTTTTACTGCTCTGCATGGCTTTCCACTGAAGTCAATTATAGACGTGTCATTTTCTATAGAAACTCAATTATGTCAAGATAAGATTTGCTGTTTCCTGTAACAGTTCATATCTATACACAGATAATAAGTAACAGACACCACAACTGTGTCAGTGTTTTCAGGTAAATATCCAGCTCAACCCAAACACCCATCACCCCCCTTTAATATTCATAAGCACTTTAATAAAAGGTATTTCCCATGTACCCACCAGGAACAGCTCTGGATAGACTGCAGCCCAGTACAACGCCGTCTTTAACTAGGACCTTTTATAATAAACACATTTAAATGCCGATGTTACGTCAGGGCGGTTGTACTGGACCACACAGTGGTACAGATGTGCCCTGTGAGCGTATGCTGCTTACAAGTGTTAGCCAAGCAGTGGGGCTGCTGTGCACGTCTGGTATTATTTAGTAAAAATATTAAGAAACTTTACAGCCTGTAGATTAACACATAAATGCCAGTGTTATCTACTGAACATCACTGAGTCATGTTTGCCATTTGCTTCTCAGATGAGCTAATCTGTGTCAGACTTACAGACCTGGGCGCTCCCCGGGTAGCACAGTGGTTTCATGGGTTAAATATGAGCAACACGACGATGTTTGAAGGAGGGAGGATGTGCTGAGGTGATAAGACAGCACTGACACCCACTGAGCCACCCGGCTCCCACTCAGACCCCGCCCTTCATTCCTCACTTCGCAGCTCGGTGTGCTGCCTGTCAGCCCGCATGCCTCACCTGACCCACCCATTCAGTGAGCACGCACCTGAAACTGCACCTAACCCACTGCAGCCACCATATGCAAACACTGCACGTCCGTGTGAAGGTGCATGGTCCTTCTCACAGCAGCAGAGCAGAAGCCTGCTTTGAACACATCCTGCTCCTAAAGCCAGACACGGCTGAGCAGCTGGTCACTGGCCCGACACAGACACCAGTAACCAGTAGCATGACCATCCCACGCCGATTCACTGGCTCCCTGGCCACGTTACAGCCGACTTCAAGGTGCTTCTAATGACATGTAAAGTCCTACCCGGAGCTGCTGCTCTGTTCCCGTCTGATCTACTGAAACCTTACGTTCCAGCCCGTGTCCTCCACTGCCAGAATGCCGGGCCTGGCCCAGAGTTCATGACAAGTCACGGGGCCTTCACTCAATGTGCCGACATCAGCCGGGCTGACTCCGCTGAGCTTTTTAAATCCAAATGGAAAAATGCTTTGATACATTTGTTAACTTCATTATAAACTTGACTATTTAAATGTTCCTCATTGTCCTGTTTTCTTTGGTATTTCCCACCAAGTTTGACTCTGGAGGTTTCACTGTGGCGATGCTGTACTTCATGATATTCTCTGATGTTGCTATTCTCTTCCCCGTCCCATGAAACCACAGAGATGAAACCATGCACGTTCTACCTGCTGGTCACTGACAGTTTCCAGGCAGCTGGAGCCAGAAAGCACAGATGGGCTCCACAAGAAGCTCCAGATGTTTACATGTACCAGAAGAGTCGACGTTAAAATGTCGGTTACTGGGATTTGAGAGGAGCTTTCATGAACCAAAAACACAGATTCTCCCGTCGGTGAACGGCCTTAGGTTTGGTCGACTGAGGAGTTATTATTACAGCGTGAAGAGAAAGGTGACAAAGAACTACAGTCTCTGTGGCAGGAATTTGTTATAATCCCCAGAGTTTTACAGCACAGTTTGGCAGCTTCACTGGTACATTGCACTCCCACTGACACACAAGTGTGTGTGCACGTTCCTGTGTAGCTGAAGTATGAACGGCAAAACAAAATGGAGCCTGAGCTGAGGAACAGCACAACTTTCAAGACGACATTTCTCCCTCGAGCCACTGGACTGAAGATGCAACTATCTGTCCGACAAGCTCAGTAGTCAACTTTTAAGCCACAGTGGAAGAAGTGTGCCCCCCCGATCTGGGACTCCCACACTATAGTATGAACACATGTCCTTGGGCTGTGGGATAATGAGAGGTTTTCACTCTCTGGACAAAATGATGAAGTCAAACACAGATCAGCAGATGAACTGACGATGAAGAGAAGTCACAGCAGTTGAGTGGATCTAATGTGTTTTTATCAGTGTTAACTTAGTGTGTGCGTCTCAGAGTTGGACACAGGGAGGAGACACTGTTTATTACACGACTATTTCACTACAAACATTTACCCGCCTTCTGAGATTTACTCGCCAAGTGGAAACTCTACCCGCACTCGGCACCTGGCTGGTGTTAGTTTCAGACCCTGGACATGACGACCAAAGGAACCAGAATCAAAAGGAACCAGAATATGAAAAGGTGACAAACTACAAGACAAGTGGAAAAAAAAGCAAACTTTCCATGAAATAAATGAGAATCAAATTAAAGTGCGTTTCTTTTACTGAGCACTGAAACCTGCCTGACTACACACGGCCCCGCGGTGCCGGTTGTTCACTCACATGTTGAGTGCAGCTGTAATTACAGGTGTTGCTCAGGTATTCTCATAACAGTTTCAAACCCAAACGCACAACACAAGCACTGTCGCACGGCTTATCCACACACAGACGTTCTCAAACTCGCTGTGACGTCTGAGCTTGGCCGGCCTCCTCTTAACCCACTGCTAGTCCTGCTTATCAGGAAGGATGCAAAGCAAATGTCAAAGTAGTGAGCGTGAGCAGTTCACAGGCCCAACACCTATTTTTATGTCCCTATGTGTTGTGTTGACTGTGTTAGGTCTGAAAGTCTCTTTATTCATGTGCTTTGTTATGAAGGAGAGTCCACCCACACGTTTTACAGCCACAGATCCTCAATCTGTGATCTGGTTTTCATCCTGGCCTTTATTTAAGGCTTCTTACTGCAGCAGCTTTATTTTAAATAACATGCTAGTCGCACTGATACGCATGTGTGCTGCCTTTTAAGGCCCCTGAAAACTTTGTTCTAATATTAACAATGTCAAGATAGAAAGGTTCAAGTTGACATTCAGCTGAAGGTATTATTTTTTTAACAGCTTTCCTTCAAACCTCATCAGTTCTGCTTTATCAGGACTGTGTGGGTGTGGTCAGATCAGATATGACTGACAATGCTGCCAACACAAGCACAGCTGTCATCACATTTGGATATGAAGCTCTGACTGATGCACAGAAAGACAACTTGTGTCTGCACTTACAGCATGTCGTGGCATTTAAAATCAGTGAGAACGAACAACAATCCTGTTTAAAATCACCATAAACGTTCAGGTTGGTAGAACCAAGGCACTCGACGCAGGACTTTCAGGTCATTTTATGGGCCTTCATCAATAAGTCTACGCTGACACATCAGGTAGCGAAGTGCACGGAGCGGGTTTGTTTCTGGAATTCTCTTCCTTTCCTCTACGTCTAACCTACATGATCACTGCACAGCATCAGCTGTTTGTGTAACAGTATTGTACGGTCGCCCGGCGTGAGATGCTTAAAAGCAGAACTCAAAACATTGCTGTTTACTTCTTCTTCCCTCAGCCTCCCGACTGACCCGCAGTCTGCACAGAACATTTTCCTATTAAAGTCCAACGTAACGGCCGTGAGTGAATGACGATGGGGGTCGGGAGCAGTGGTTGGTGATTGTTGGCATGTGTGTACTTGTGCGTGCGTTCCTTCCTCACCTGTATGAGCCGGCGATGACCTCTTCACAGTCGATGATCATGAACTTCTCCAGGACCTGGCCGGTGAATTTCTTGCCGCTCTTGGTGCAGTATGTGTCACCACACACAGTGCGAATACGCATGTTCTGCACAGGACACACAAACGCACACACTTAGATACAAACACACACACACGTGTGTACTCCCAAGAGAAACTCTGCACCAGGATAAAGAACTTTGAAAAATGGAAACGTTATGTAACAGAGTTAAAACCATCACACTCCACCAGGAACAAAAGGTAACAAGAGGAGCGGTCACACAACCACGTTATTTCGTTCAGTCCGTCACACTTCAGCTCGGCTGTCTTCAGTTCCACGTTCAAACCTTTTCACTTGTCACCAGCACTGAGTGTCAGTCAACTGACCTCCAACAGGTGGACCAGGGGGTTACCTGGGACCAGAGGCGTCCTCAGACCTGCCTCTGTAAAAACCTCACAGGGCTCCGTACAACACTCAGTCCCACCAGCTGAACCAGCAACAACCTCAGAGCATGCTCGGTTCTGGTCCTGCTGGATCTCAGTGTAGCTTCTGACACATTGGGCCACAGTCTCCTAACTGACAGACTTAGGGGGTGGGCATCTCTGGGTCAGCACCACAGTGGTTTGCTCCCTCCCTTTCCAATAGGACTTTTTCAGCTACTGCTGGTAACCACACCTCTTCATCTGCACCTCAGCTGTACGGTGTACCACATGGTTCTGTTTTGGGTCCCATCCTGTTTTCCCTGTCCATGTTTCCCCTTGGGCATATAATAAGGGGGTTTAAAGGGATATCCCATCTCTGTTATGCTGAAGATATCCAGCTACACATCTCCTTTAACCGTCAAAATATGACCAAGCTTTTCTCATTAAATTACTGTGTAACAGCAATAAAAAGTGGATGGCTGACAACTTTTTACAGCTTAATAATGATCAAGCAAAGGTTCCTATTTGTGCCCCTCCTGGTTTTGTTCCTAAGGTGCAGGAAACCTGCAGCCAGACGTCTTGTGGCCACCACTGACCAAGCATTGACCCTGGAGCAACATGTGAAGTGTCTGACTTGTTTTTTTCAGTTGAGGACTATCGCTAAACTCAGACCCATGGTGTCCTAAATCAAGATGAAAATGATCCTTCATGCTGGCGTCTCATCCCGATTAGACAACTGTAACTCCTTCTGCACATTTTTCAGTAAAACATCTTTGGATCCAAATGCTACAACCTTTTGAGGAAGTCGTCTCGGTGGGAACGTGTTCCACCTACGTTGATCTCTCTACATTGGCTCCCCATCAAATTCAGAATTCATTTCAAGATCCTCATACTCGCATTCAGTCTTGCATGGCCGGGTATCTGCCTGGATCAGAGGTCTTCTTTATGTAACTAGCAGGTGTAAGGTCGTGGGACAGGAGTCTGGAGGCTGCCCCTTGGCCCAGACTTAAAACTCAAGGAGACTGTGCCTTCGAAGCTGTGGCTCCTAAACTCTCTGCCAATGGACTGAAGACCTGTGGACGTTTTTAAAAAGCAGCTCAAGACCCATGTTCTTATTCTGTTGTAGTTTATAGAATAGTGCATTGATTTTTACATTTGTGTGAAGCACTTTGTGACTATTCATGTCGATAGGTGCTGTATAAATAAATGTACTTACTGACTTAGTTATGGACCAAACCGATTATTTACTTTATCAAGCAGCAGATAAGTCTGTTATAAAAGTAATCACTGGATCACCCTGATCAGTGACGTAGAAAACAGGCTACCACTGCCTTAGTTTTGTGAAATGCTATTTTACAAAGTCGTGATGAAGATGATTGTAATTCTTCACTGTGGAGGGTTTTTTTCCCGCATTAACAAAACTAAAGACAGGCAATGTTCTAAAAAACAGCGAGGTGGGAAATGAGCGTGAAGGTCAGTGCGACAGATGGGCAAATACGTTTGTGCCTTCCTCTCCAACAGCCACGTTCCAGTATTTTTCATTCTCATGTTCAGCAAAGGGTTTTGTAATAACCACCACACTGGTGCTTTGCATATTTCTCTCCTTCCTCTCAGTCAGACGTTAGCTCCAGTTACTCTCAGAGCACAATAAAACCAACTTGCAGACACTTAATACTTATGTGGCAGACGATCCTCGCTGTTAATGAGTCATCTCCACGTTTTGTCAGGAACACTGCCGTGCTGTGCAGACATGGTTCTTACACTCTCCTTGTTGGTGAGTTTAAAGAGTCTTTTGTTCTCCCTCGCAGACACCAGAACATTTGTTGGTAACAGTGTTGGAGCATTTAAATGAAAATGTGGGACCTTTTCTCTTGTGGTCACCTGCACAGAACAGATTGTAGTTTGTAGGGCTGGTGATCGTTAATCAATGAAGGTAAACAACGGAGTAGGCAAACTAAGGGATCGTCCCACCCTAACACACACACACAGGCGGTACATATACAGTATAGAGTAGGCAAACTAAGGGATCATCCCACCCTAACACACACAGGCGGTACATATACAGTATATACTGTGCATGACGTTTTGTGACAACCTGTCTGTCCTCTCCAACACTCCAATGTCACTTCCAGAAGCTGAGTGTGAAGACGTCGGTGCTGCTGAAGCACAGGATTCTTTAATTCCAGCTACATTAATCCATTTTGTGTGAAGACGACTTGTGTCTGCGCAGTGTTTCCGCTTCGTTTGCCTGTGGCCTCCACCTCCACAGAGCGGGACAAACAGCATGGCTGAACTAAACTTTAAGGTCAAGTTGTCATCTGACAAAATCAACAAACACAGGTTAACGCTCCATCATCAGCTGTGTGATGTTTACAAAGAGGGATCACACAGAGTCACAGCTGACTGAACGCACAGACGACACACCGGTTAAACCTCTGTTCATTCCTCGGTGTTGCTGTGCAGCTGAGCTCATGACAGTTGTTTGATTTTTGTCATTTCACAATGGATCAAGCAGGGAGTAGCGATATAACCGTGGTGTTTCTCCAGTCGACGGAGAGAAAGATGGTTTTACAGATGTAACTGGGTTAAAACTCCGTTTAGCTGCTGGTCTGAATTTGACGCAACCTAGGAACCTGATTAAAAGTAAAGCTGGCAAGCTGAAAGCTAAAGTGTAGATTAGTAGTGTAGCTAACTGGTCCTAACTAGTTACCAATGGTGGCAAGTCATTTTAACGTCCACCAATCAGTGGTTAGCACCGTCACCTCACAGTAAGAAGGTTCTGGGTTCGAGCCCCGGTCCAACCCGGGGCCTTTCTGTGTGGAGTCTGCATGTTCTCCCTGTGTCTGTGTGGGTTCTCTCTGGGTACTCCGGCTTCCTCCCACAGTCCAAAGACCTGCAGCTTAGGTTGGTGTCTGACTCTAAGTTGCCCCTAAGAGTGAGTGTGGTTGTTTGTCTACATGTCAGCCCTGTGATAGACGAACGACCTGTCCAAGGTGGACCCCACCTCTCACCCAGTGTCAGCTGGGATTGGCTCCAGCCTCCCATGAACCTATTCAGGAATAAGCGGTGTAGATAGCGGATGGATGATCTTCAGCCTAGAGTCATTCAGTCGACAGTGTCACTCTGAACGTTTGCTCTAGTCTGACTTTCTGCCTGAAGAGGAAATGTCTGTAGGGTTAAACTTCAGTACTTACACTCAGGTGTGAGTTCTGGACATCGAGTGCGGAGCACATATCTGTGAAGTAGTCCAGGTTTTTCTCGTCCAGCAGGATATAGACGGGCACCCTGCGCTTGTTGGATGCCTCCATGAGATCACACAGCAGATCCACGTCTGTAAACATGTCCATCACCAGCGCTATCACCTGGAGTAGTGGGGACACATGAGAGACGTTAACATGCAGCGCTGCATAAAGGTTTTATGAGTGTGGGCCTCTTCATGACAAAGCAGAGGCACCGTCAGGCTCACAGGTTCGCTCTACAGCAACTTTACAGGAAAAACTTCACTGTGGTAAATGTCTTAATGGGCCCCTGTGGAAACGGGAGCAACTCACTGGGGGAATATTTACAACTGGTGAGAAAAATAATTAAGAAAACAGTCTGAAGGGGGAAAGGAGCTGTAATGTGTGGACGGAAATGATGAACTGATTGAACTAGTTGACATTTCACTTGTTATTCAAGTCATTTTTAAACAACACTGCTCCCAGTTTCCTGAATGTGAGGAGTTTCTACTTTTCTCTGCTTTTTGTCACCGAACACTGGGGGTCATTTGGATAAAACACAGCATTCTGACGATGTCAACTACAGCTTGTTCTGCAGTTTTCTGGCATTTAACAGACAAATCAATGACCCAAAGATACAACAAAGTGAAGTGCTAATGAAAAGAATCTGAAGCTGCAGCCACAGGAACACGTTTTGTTTTATAGTTGATTCAGTAGTTTCAACCAAAACACCTGTTAAGCTCAAACCAAACCGACGTGTCATGATCTTTTATTGGTTACAGCACCAAGTATAAAATGTGCTACACAAATAAAGTTTGACTGACTGGTGGACAAGAGTCTTTGGGAAAAGGAAAATGGCCCCAGGGGCCCCCACAGGACTAGAAGACAATAACAGATGGGGGTTTAATTACAGCTCTGTAAAAAGAAGGCTGCTGTGAATATGTGACTCAGTTATTAAGAAAAGGGTTAATTTAATTAAATTAATTATATTAAAGCTTCAGAAACTACAGCTGGTTTATGTGGAACACATTCACGGAGTCTGACAGCATGATTGGATTAACCTGTTCTGGGGCCCCGGGGCCTACATGTGCCTTCGTGTTCCCATCGACAGCTGTGCACACAGCACACTATACAGGAGACGCCAGTGACCCGCCGGTGCTCCTCTACTGGAAGGTGTCTGGCCTCGGTGAGCACAGAGAAGCAGAGGAGAACCGCTTCACAGGACGGGGCCACAAGGTCGTGAGACTACCGATATTTTAAATCAATTTGTTTTATAGTCTATAGCTCAATATTAATTATTATTATTAAATCTGTACGGCATTAGACAACCTCTGTCCTCAGACTAAGGGTTTATTTGTAGAGTGTCAGTCGTTTCAGGACACTTTACAAAGTAGGGTCTACACCTTATTATTAATTATTATTAATTATTATTATTATTACTACAGAGAAAAAGCCAACATCCCCCTGAGCAGCACTTTATAGGTACAAGACACATTTACAACTCATCAAATGACCAAGAAGCAGCTGACACACATTAAAACTTCCCGACCGTTATCTAGACGTTAATTTAACTGAAATAGTGAGAATGTCACTTTATGAACTCTTCATGCACTTTGAAAACAAATAACAAGGCCCTTATCTGTACGTGCTAATGTACACACACACACACACACACACACACACACACCATGAAGAGTGTGCAGATACAAACACACAGACGTGTACAGACTTGTCATGCCCTCAGGCGTATGTGCACATATGCGTGCGAATGAAAAACACATACTTAAAATGGCTGAAAGCCCTTGAGGCCCAGTTTTCTTACACAATAATGATCATTAATGATGTTTCTATCTGAAGTGTGTGAACCAGGAAACAGAAAAACTATTTGTCGCAGCTGCCATCAGCCGCACGGGAGCCAGGCTGATTAAAACATGGACTTTATCTACACAACGTGAGGAGAATCTCATCTGGTATGAGAGCCACACAATGTCTAACTGTCTAACGCAGACAAATGAAGCTATTAAAACACACAGTCTCCTCTGCTGCACTCATATCCCAACAGTGCAGACGAGGTCGAAGGTCATTTGTTCTGATCTTGTTAATGGCAGCAACTGAACTCAGATAAGATAAGTGGAACAAACAGAGGAGCTGCATCTGCTGGCTGCTATCATTTGATGGCCACGCTGCTGACTCCGCACAATGTGAGAAAGAGGTCAGTGTTTACCGCCATATCTGAGGGGAAACGGCTTCTACTGTGTAGGACACTTCATGCACGGACAGTTTGAGCTTGTATTAGCATCAGAATCAGTGATCGTGCAAGTAAAACAGGTCTATTTATACACAGAGGAGAAGGAAGTGTCTGTGGAGAGGTGACGCATATGCAACGTGTGCTGGACTGTCTGCCAACAAACTGAATGCCTCTCTTGTCAGACTGTTGCATGATCAGGATTCAGTGTTCATAACTTTAAGTAACAAGTCAGAGCTCACAACAAGGGTCTGAAGCGACTGTGTGTGGTGGGAGAGCCAAACTACAGAGACGCCAAACTACCACAGACACACAGCATGATTCATCTGACACAAAACAACTAGAGTCAAAACTACAGAGACACAAACCAACTACAGAGAGACACAAACCAACTACAGAGAGACACCCAACTACAGAGAGACACAAACCAACTACAGAGAGACACAAAACTACAGAGACACAAACAAAAGAGAAAGAGAAAACAGATACAGACAGAAATGAACTAGAGAGAGACAAAATTACATTACAACTATAGAGACAAAACCACAAAGACATGCAACGCTGCCTCTGGACGACTAAACAGAGACACTAAACAACTACAGACAGGCTAAATTGGAGGCGTGGGGGCCTTTGCACGTCTGTGCCCAGGTCTCGTGATCCCCAGTGATCAGAGAATGAAACTTTGGCCTCGGAGACAGAGGGAGATGAGTTCTAACCAAACATGGCAGCAGGCAGGGGGGGGGCCCCCCCCCCCGAGGGGGCCGGCCCCCCCCCCCCAGGCCTGCTGCATGTGTTTGTTGGCAAACAAGTGGAAAACACTGCAGGAGCCATGACTGTGCTCGGCCCCAGTGACTCAAAGGAAAGACACCAATCTGACATCAGGAGCCACCATCATGGTGGTTTTTATTCATTTGACTAGTTTGTACCTAGTGTAGTGGCCTGCACAGCACTGGGAGGTGAAAGGTGCTGCACTGATAAAGGTGATTTGACTCTCAGTGTGTGCATGTGCGTGCACCACAGGCTGGACCTTTACACACCACACACACACACACACACACACACTGAACATAGAGCAGGATCAGCTTCCCAACCAGCTGCTGTGTCCCAAAGTCAGATTTAAAGTGTGCACAGAGAAACCTGCTTTTTGTGCTAAATGGTGACGGAGCTGATCCAGCTCCAACAGTGAAGGCAGTGGAAAAAGGAGTTAACATGAAGGAGGCCAGTGAATTTACACTGGCTTTGGTTTACACAGTCACACTGATGTAACCTGGAACTGGTCTGACACCTAGTCAGCCATATCTTATTGACTCCAGGTATTTGTCTTTTACCTGACCTGTGGAGACCAGGCTGCCCAGACCTGTGGAGACCAGGCTGCCCAGACCTGGACCTGCTGCCTAGACCTGGGGAGACCAGGCTGCCCAGACCTGGACCTGCTGCCCAGACCTGTGGAGACCAGGCTGCCCCGACCTGGACCTTCATCCCACTACACACCTGCCGGTTCCGTCCATTCCCGCTACAAGTTGCAACGTGCAAAGCCAGCACCGGTTTTTAAACAGACAAATAGGAAATGCTCAACAAGGTTATTTATTCCTGTGGTTACAGACCAGAACCGAGACGGGCAGGTATCGGTTCTTCCACCCTCCCCTGTACATGCAGCCTTTTATTTCCTCAACAGCCTAAAACTTGACTCTTAAAACAGCATCTTGTTGCTTTATCTTTCGTGAAATGACACAGAAACAAGCTGCTGCTGTTTCGGGGACCCGAGGTCAGAGACTTCTTACCTTTTTGGCCTTGTTGATCAGGGACCTGATCAGGTCTTTGACGTTGTGAGACTTGTCCCTCTGGAAGTAGATCTGCGTCTCCGACGGTCCGTACCGCACCGGGGTCTCCGGCCAGCCGAGCTCCAGCATCGGAGGCTCCTCGTCGGACATCATAGGGAAGTAAGTCCCGGAGGTGAGCTCGGAAACGGCGTCTCCGTCCCCGAAGTCCCGGTCGTTGGGGCCGGTTCCGTTGCTTTCGGGGCCGCCCGCTTTGGCCGCATGCTGGGTGATGTAGTGGATCTCCTGCGGGGAGAGGAAGCTGACCTCCCGCTCCTCGGTCAGGACCCGGCGGTACTCCTTCTCCCCGAGCTCCAGCAGGGCGTCCGTCGCCAGCCGAGCCGCCTCATTGTGGCTCAGCTCCAGCGTGGAGACCTGCCGCCACGGGTTCTTCACCTCCTCCAGGCGGGAGGCGAGCTTGCCCAGGGGCTTCCTGCCGTTCGTGGTCGGCCGCAGGCCGTCCGAGCTGATCATGGTGCTGGTGTAGTCAGCAGTTGGCGGATTAATTCGGTAAGTCCCTGTTTAATAAAGCCTCACAGAAACAAGCACAGCAGTCCTCCAAGTGCTCGGACACGGACACGGACACTAACACACCGAGCACAGCCGCGGAGCTTCCTCCACTTTCAGTGCTGTGGAAACATGACAGCGGATCAATAATGAGGCCAAACACAGAGGAAGACACCACACGACCTGCAACTAACAACCAGAAAGCACCAAAGTCGCACTAACTCTCCGCCGACACACCACAAACTCTTTGCTACAGGAATACGTCAAGTTGTCCCGCGGCGATAATCCCGATGAAGAGCAGTTCGCCTTCCTCCGCGGTGAAATGGTCCTGGCTTCTCTAGTTCCCCGTCATGTCAGACCGGATCCTCAGTCCCAGGAGACACCTCCGTTCCTCTCTCCTCTTCTGCGCACCTGTCGCTACCTGTCCTGCCATTGGTCTGCTCCTCCCGCCTCCCCGTCTCGTCTTTCCGTTGTCAAGCCAACCAGCTCCCAGCAGGTAAGTAGCTCCTTCTGGTGGGAGTTTTCAAAATAAAGGTCCAGAAATGAGCGCGTACACCTGTTGGCATCTGGCGTGAACCAGCGGTGGAGGGTAACACAGTCCAGATCACACAGACCTTTAGTCGAGTGTTTCTACTTCCTGGCACTTTTTAGGCAGCTTTACTAAATCCACCCTCCATCCATTATCTGTCCTCATTGTTATTCTCCATAATGTTGATTGTTCCTTCCCAGTGGAGAGATTTCATCTTTCTTTCTTTCTTTGGCCTGATTTCTCTATAATAACAACAACATGAAACTATGAAGAATTCAGATCCATTAAATGAAGCACTATCACGAAATTTTACATCATTAATAGTCTTTGAACTTAAGTTATTGTTAGAGTTACAGTTATTAGACTTTACTGAATTGATGAAATTCAGGTGAAAGTTTACAGGTTCCAGATTAACAAACAAATGCATAATTCACAAAATGTTTTGAAGGCAGGTTGTCGGTACAAACACAACATAATCAATTATTAAAGGTCATAATCATCCATCAAATGACCCAGAAATGTTGCATGTAGAAAAGGTTGAATGACTCAAGATGCACTTTTATAGTCTGCAGCTGCTTTCATCATAATTTATAACAATTAATACATGTAATGACGTCATTTCAATCCATTTATAATAATTCAGCATCAATACTTATTTATTGATCTGTTTTTCTAGAATGCAACAACATGCTTTTATTTTGATGGACTTAGTCCTGGTCTTATTGGCAGGACTTCCTTTTCCTTTTCACTATAATCCCCATAATTACATCCTATACATCACTATATTTCTGTCTTGTCTCCTCATTCTGATGTGACTTTACTTACATTATAATAAAAACAATTTGCTGCAATAGAAAGACATCAGCCCTGATATAAACATATACTTCATGATAATTTATTGTGTAAACGTAACACTAAAGGTCACAGATCAACAATAGTCAAAACTATACTCAATAAAATGAAAGGGTTAGATTTACACATAAATAAATCACCATTTCTGAATATAGAGAATGTAGGGACGGGGACACCATTTTGGGAGATACTTGCTGTAGTGACCTGCCTACATTCTTGTTTTGTTTGGCTAAAAAGTTGTTTAAATCATTTAGATCTCACTTTACAGGCGGTGAGAATTCAGAACGGATCTCCTTAGCTGACTGTGGCTAACTTGGTGAGAATTCAGAACAGATCTCCTTAGCTGACTGTGGCTAACTTGTAGCAGACCTGGAGATCTCGTCGACGAGAGCAGCAGATTGAAAAATGACTCTGCACCCTGATCATGACTCTGTTCAGCTTTTGGTTTGGACAGTTCAGTTGACTGTATTGACCTGACGTTAAAGTACTCAGAGGTTTGTCTTGGCTTTAATAAAGGGGTACAAACTATGAGAAGGGTGAGACTCCACAGTCTGCCACAGCTGTACTAAAAGTACTAGGTGCTCATGGATCCTGCGACTTGTGTTGTCATGTATTATCTAGTTTGCATTCTGCTTTATATTTACTGTGTGCTTTTTAATGTTGTATCCAGCTGTGTGCATTGTGTTAAGCACTTTGAATTGTCATTGTGTATGAAAATGTGCTACATAAATGAAGTGGCCTTGCCTCAAACTGAACACTAAAGTGACCCTAACCCTACTCTGTAGCTGTATGGGACAGTATTTTTCTAAATTAACTTCTAGATGTATGTAGTGGATATCTCTATGATGGATAATGAGTGGGATCTTCTAAAATGGTGCATTTACCTAAAATTCAACACGACGTGACAACATTGTCTATAGACTGGACATGTGCAGTATCGTCAGAGTCATATTCAGTCAAATATGTTCAAACAGTGTTGTGCTTTACAACCAAAACACATCCCAGTCCAGGATCCATACACAACGGTTTTAAAGCTAAACAATCCACAGTGAGAGTGTGAGGACAAATGTGATTCGATATTTAAAAGCACAGTTGAGTCAGAGGATCACCAAAGTTATTATAATCAATCCTGAGGCGATCATGAATGTGTGAACCACATTTGAATTGTCTGAATGTATTTCAGAGCGGTGCACCAGCAGACTGCTACTGCATTGTCTAACAACCAGTCACGTGGAGGTGACCAACACGTCTGAGGCGAGCTGGTCCAGCACGAGAGTATCAGAGACTTCCGAGTTCTCTTGTTCCACATCCTGGCCTCTATTTTGGATGGACGAACTCCCCAGAGATCTTACACAATGCACCACACAGGATGGTCAGAGGGAACTGAAGTCAGCAAAGCGCTGGGGGTAGACTACACGCAAACACCTTAGAGCCAACAGGATGCACCTGAGATGAGTTTTCACCTTTTCTCTCTAGTTTTGTGACCTTAATCATTGAATTGGTGTTTGTAGCTGTGCAAGCATTCAGCACATTTGCTCCTGGGTATTCGCTCGTTTCACTGTCGCCTGCACTTGGTGCTTAATATAAGGGTGTCATTGCAAAACAGAGCGGTTGAAGCAGCTGTGCTTCTTATTTAGACAGCTTCAGTCATCACTGGCTTAATGGTGGAGTAGGCTACATGGCACAGACATCATGTCCTGGTCCTTACCTCAGTGACAGAGCAATCTGAAGGGTGGTGGCAGGTGCTGTTTAACTGGTCATTCATGCAAAAGGTTCCCATTCACACACCGTCACTGTGAATGGGAATGTTTAGTTAGCACAGTTTATGACAATTATACATGTTACTTATTAAAATCATGATAAAATAGGGAAAAGACTGAAGTGCCTGGTTTCATCTTTAACTTATTTAACAATGTGTGGTCTGCACTTTCAGGTTAATGCCAGCAGCTTTGTCACTGGATGTGAAGAGGTTTGTTAAACGTGTTGTCTCAAATACAATCACCAAACAGACAAACGGGCATGTTTTCTTATAAGGGCTGCTGCGGGTGTTACCGCCCTGGTCGAAGGCAGGGCTCGTCCCCACAGTCAGTGGGTCAGACCTTGTACTGCGGTGAAAAAACGGTCAGATGTCGGGCATCAGGTGGGACAGAGTAAGCAGAACCGGGTGGTACTTCACAGGGACAGACTCACACCATACTGGCCCTTGGCTTCACCTGAGGGGGTAGAGTTGGACTGCACCCCCCTCCACCGTTGCCCATGAGCCCCCTGAGCCGCCTTGGCTCCAGTGCAGGCGCCTTGTGTGTATGTTTTAAATAAAAAGGCAGTCTAGTCCTCTGGTTCCTTCCAGCCGACATTACAATACATTATACTGGACTTTCAGTTCTGAATAGAAAAGAAAGAAGAGAAGAAACTTTCTGATAAGTCCATTTTAAAATGTTTATAAGCTGAAAGCAAATGTATTTAATTTACTGATGTTTTAAAGGTAAGTTATGGGCCATTCATTGTAACTTTATTCATCAGGGACATTTCTTCTACTGACTGTTTGACCAAAATCCATCTATTAACTGTTCATTAACACTTACAGCTGCAGATGATGGATTTATTAGCATTCATAACCTCAGGTGATTAAGTTTTGCTAACTGCTCTTTAGAAGCCAAGAAGCCCAGGGCCCTTTATTAGCATCAGACTAAGACTCCCAACCACAAACCCGATGACTTCAGAGAATGTGTACAAGCCCAAGTTTTTATTAATGGTTTATCAACAGTTATAGATTTGGTCCAGATGTTCTGGAGCTGCTTTCCAGAAGCCCAGTGGTCGAGCAGGGAGCCGGCCCCGATGGATAAGGAGCTGCAGAGACAAAGACCTGCTTTTACACCACCTGGAAGCCAAAAGTTGGTTTTATTCATGGGTCTTGAAGCTTTAGGAAATGACTTACTAACCTTTTGTAAAACCAACTATCAGATCTAACAAACCTTTACAAACTCCTGCCACAGTTCTCCACAGGCATGACTTCACTTTACAAACGGAAGATGAATGTACTCCATGCCCACATGTGGTAGTAAACATCCGTGAGGAGCTCATGTTGTAATAGAGTATATGACTTCATATTTGCTCAACAGGGTGAGGTGTCAGTGCTCAGACCAGACATCCCTGCACTGCCAGTGCTCCAGTTTGACATCACTACTCTGTGGCATTTGAATAAATAAATAGGCCGCTTGGTGCCGGGAAGAGGCTGACACTTACTGTAGAAGAGTTTCATTTACATGCGCTCTGTGTAGGTCATGTGGTGGGTGCACGAAGAAGCAGCCACACTGGATCGGCAGGTTAACCTGGTCTAAATACAGAGTGATAAGGCGACAACCCTGGTGTTGGCACTGTGCCACAGACACAGCTGGGTAGAAGTGGCACTGAAGGAGAAGATAACATATACTTTCTAGTTGACTGGGCTGCCACAAAAGGTTTCATTTAAATAGCTGTTTCAATGTTTTATCTGCTCATTCACATGTGATGCTTCATTGTCAGGTCCGTAGGAATCACTCCATCTGGTGATTCTTTTTTTTTTATATTTTGATGACAGCGTCAGTGCCAGCACACATCTCTGTCATGTGTCTGTAGAACACATCAGTCAAAGCTGCTCAGATGAACTACTCAGGTGTTTTAAGACAAGATTTTTCTTGAACACCTGCCCGTCACTCATTATTTTCAGTTTTTGGAGAAGGAGTCACTCTCTGCCACTCTCTAGTGCCAACAATTTATACATAGGCCCACAATGGACAAACTCAATTATTAATCAAGAAGTAATTGAAGAAAGGGGCCTTATTAGACAACTTCCTGTTTACAAGTGTAATATACAGTATATTCATGGTCACATGCCTGAGGTGATTCAGCTCGTCATGCTCAGGGGAAGTCACCGTGATTAGTCACTGTTGGCTGCTGTCATAATGGAAACAACCTCCAGACTTATAAGCATAAATAACTGGTTGGTTGAAACCAGTGAGTCACAGCTGTGGTCCAGCTGAGAGGATGAGCAGCCAGGA